TTGTTGCTGCTTGGACTAGGTAATTGTTCCCTTACAATGTCCTTTAAGAAGAAAAGTAGAGCTAAAATGTAAAACCTGAAACTTCCTTTTGTTTTGAAGCACCTTCAAGAGCTGTACAAGAGGACTTATGAGTGAAAAAATCTTACAAAAATTTATCTCATTTTGAAATGCATGTCAGTTTCTTGAAATGCTGTTTTCTTTAAGAGCTCTGAAGAATTTTCAGGGGTTGTTTGCCTGGAATAAACTTTTGCACCATTTTGTGGAATAGTTCTTGAGGGAGTGACAAAATCCCAAGTGTTTCTCACTAATACATAAAATGCCTGAGCTATTTCAGGAAGAGTCCCACAATTCTGTGCTAGCAAAAGAATAGCTTTTCTTGTCCAAGTAGTATCTGGCTATCAGCCTTGTTGATTTGGGAAAAAGCCAAACAAACATGTAGGAGTAGTCAGTGTAATAAAGCAGTATCATGCTTGATGTTTGAGGCAATAATCGGTGACGTGTTCAGTGTCTTTAAAAAATTGTGTTTTCTACTTAGAGAAATGTAGACATGATGAAATAGATGAGCTTTTGATATCTAAATGGTTTCTTTGGCCCACAGTTAACTCTGAGAAACTGAATGGCTATTAAGCTCTTATTGCTTATTTAGTGTTTAATGGAGTATGTTTGCCTTGAAATCGTCATTTCTGTGAGCTGGTGTTGGATAGGCTACAAAATCAGCTTCAGAGAGCACATAACAGGTGTGAAGAAGAGTTAGTACCAGATTCATTGGAGGTTTTTAACTCTTTCCCTTATTTTTGTATCAGTTCCTCTTTGTTCCCACCTGTCCCCTCCTGTCTTGCAAAAAATAACTAGGTTTTTTTATTTTCTTTATATTTTTTATTGCATGCAGATATTTCTTGTGACTGGAATGTGTATGTATACATACAACATACAAAAATAGTGTATGCATGTGTTAAAACAACTGTGGGGCTCTGACTGTACTAAACCTTAAAATCCTGATGTAGTTTCAGGTCTTTGGCAAGATTAGTCCACAACATTTAAACCAAAAGAAAGGGTTATTTTTAAGAAAATTATAGTTTTGATTTGATAATTAATTAATTAACAGTTGGAACTGGGTGATCTTCAAGGTCCATTCCAATCCATAGCACTCCGATTCTGTGAAGTGAGTACTGTCGGTTGGAATATATAGATTCTAAATGGGATGATGTATTGTCAGTTCTGTAACTGGGATTGTTTCTCTCTGTGTGTTCTAAGGGTTTAACAATGATAATATGCACAGGATTCAGTTTTGTAGTTTGCAATGCTGAAGTGTCTTCAGTGCAGCTGAGATCTGAGGCAGACCTTTGGAACATGGTTATGTTGGTTGCGCTATGGTTATGGTCCATCCTTTTTGTTAGTTTTTAGTATTTTCTTAAAATAGGATATAGCTGCATAATAGCTCAGTTGTTTAGAGCACTGTTCTAATAATGCCAGGGTGCAGGTTTGAGCCCTGTATGGGCCATTAATTCTGGTTTGAGCTCATTTTAAAAGTAAACCTCTGGGATATGCTCTTAAGAAGGAGTCCAGAGGTGAAAAGACTATGGAAATGAAAGGGAGGGAGGAAGGACAATGCTGATGCCAAATTTGCAAGCTGTTTACTCTGCCATTTTTCTCAGCTCTTGTAGAATAAAAAAGGAAGTGTTTGGAAAAGGACAATAGTGTTTTGCAGGACATGGCTCAGTAACGGATTCTTCCATTGCAGGGAAAACTAGTCCAAGGTTGGAGCACTTTAATTTGACTTTCTGATTTTATGAGTTTCACTCTTGGGATGGAGAAAGGTGACCTGCTGTTTCCTCGGATGTTCTACTAATCTAAAAAATGTATTTCTTTTCTTTCTCTTTTTCACCTTCTATCAATGGTCTGAGAAAAATATTATTCTGTACAATTGTGTGAAATTGCCCCGTTACTTTTGCTAGGTTACCATTGGAGCATAGGAACTTGGGGAAACATTTTTCTCACTAAAAATGGTAGTTTGGTGTTTTGGTTTTGTTCTTACAGGGACAAATTACCTATGGTAAGAGCTGCTATTTCAGGGTAAAGCAGAGCTACTTGAGTTCTGAACACTCAGATAAAGCCAAACTCTTTGTAAGGAGCTCTTTCCTGTATGCTGGTAAATCTTGCCTTGCTCCTCCAGTGGGAAACCTGCCCAGTCTTTAAATGTGTTACATATTTGTAACTTGTAATTCCTGCTGTGTTGCTTAATTGAGAACCTAGAGTATTGCCAAAGCAATCTACAGTATCTTCTGCTTATGTTCAGGGAATTTTGTGGAGGTGCATCAGTTGAATTTTTCATTCTTACTTTGATTAAAGTTTGGCCCAGGTTTGGATTTTTTTTGTTGGTGGCGTTTTGTTTTTTGGGTTTTTTTTTCAATATCCCTTTGTGTTCACTAAGGAAGATTTGTTTCGAACAGAACAATGCTTCAAGTGGTGTTTTTAAAGGCATTCAGACATTAAAATGTTTCTGAGGCAATGATGTGTTACAGCTAGAGACAAAATGAGCGCAGCTGGGAAGGGATTTAAGTGCCCTCCAGGAACAGGAGCAGTGACTATCAGGAGGTCACTAGTAATGTATCTGCTGCAAGCAGATTTCAGGAAAATTAGTTCTTGCAGTTATATAAACAGAAGAGGAACAGTGTTGTCAGCAGAGTGGGTTTCATTCATTTATAGCAGAAAACTTTAAAAAATGTGTTTGGGTAAGCTTTGGAGACAGTCTCCAGCTCTTTGGGAGTTTTTCCTCCTCCTGATTGATAGTCAGCATTACTTCATAGGTACTGGTTTTATCGGTGTTGTCTCTTTATCAGGGTGTGTGTTGATACTGACAGAAAACACACTGAGAGTATTCTGCTAATACTCCTGCAGGTTAGTACAGCTTCATAACAGAAATTTGACTTCCAATATGAAGTCTTTACAGCTAATTGTATATTCTGTCCAAGGTGTTGGGTAGGGAAATTTGTGTCTGTGCCTAGATAAAAAATGGGGTTGAGCTTCATGATGGGAACAGAGCAAACAATGGTTTGAGACCATTTTCCTTGAGATATTATTAAAATTATCTGAAACTGTGTTTAAGTATAACTTAAATATTTGAATGTTAGTGTTACAATACCAATTACTGTATTTGGCTCTGTTCTTGTAAGAAATTTTGAATTTATCTGTGCTGTGTAATGTGCTCCTAGAATAGCAGGTAGTGTAAGCAGCAATGTCAGCCCTTTTATCAGAAAACAGCTCCATTAGTAAATAACTGGCATGTTTTATTTGTCTCCCTATGAGGAAAGTTTTTAGCAAGGAAATGTTTTTTGTTGTTTTGTTGGGTTTTTTGGT